AGCTGACAGCAGTAATCAGCTTTTCAACAGTTCCAAGAAAGGAAGAATTACAGACGACGACTCGGTTTACAATAAAAGAGGAGAAGATATGTCACTGGCGAGGTCAGATGGCTCTTCAAGATTCCGATTAAGTGAGCCAGCATCGAGCGTCTGGCGCACCTTATCCTATCAGATACTGACTTCAGTTCTATACGCGTCGCATTCACCTTCGACTTTAAACTCGCAGTTGCACCAACAGATAGCGTGAATTATCGTCAAGCATATTTTTGACGAAGATTTCAGTGACAAGATATAAAGATCGACGATCCGTCGGTAGCACAAGCTTAAAGCTTGGAAGGAGGGGGGGTAGTCGCAAGCAGCGAGGCAGGAAGGCAGAGTCGTTAGATGAAAGGGCTGCAAAAAAACACGAAAACGCAAATGTCGATAAGGGGGCAACGCAGGAACGCCTCAAATCACGGTTCGAAGAAACAGCCTGCTCAAAATCTAGTCTGCTGCGTTGTGAAACACACCGGATATCATCATTACGGCAACCATACATCACGAATATAGCCGTTAATCGCCTGACAATACACAAGAACAACAGAACACTTGCAAGGTCATCAGAAAAGATAATATATTACAGTAAACTATATATGAGTGTGTTTAATGAAATATGGCTGAAACGTCGACAATTGTACTAAAGACTATCATGCGTTTGATTCACTGTGTCTAGCATCATTGCACTGCCGGCTCACTGAAATCGGGTTTCAGAAATACCCATTTATTTGTTTCAACTGAGATGACGCTGTCTCTGTAAACCGGATAACGGCGCCCCGGTACTGTAGCGTGTGAAGTTTGGTGATGCAAAACTGCTTCATTGTGCTGGGCAAAACAAAAGCATGCTCGAACACAAACTAAGAAAATCTCGATCCGCAGGAATTGATTTAAACAAAAACTACCACTGCCATTAAAGTACGATGCATAAACCCAGAAAAGCGACGTGCGCACGCACATTTGCGATCGAGGGCTGACCTCAACTCGACCGCTTATGTCTGTCTGTCGAACATTCGAACCGAGAAAGGAATGCCTATATTACGCACAGCGACCCACTTGCACCCCGGCCCCTCTACCAGTTGAATGTCGTTACGCTGCGCAGCTGCGGCGTGCCTACGGGGGAGCAGGGTGGTTTTCGATTGACGTTCGACCACTTCGGACAGGGTTACGCTCCTTGAAGCAAGGACATATAGGTCAAAACGACCGATAGACGAAGCGTTTTAGCCGACGGCGACATATGAGCAAAATTTACGACACACAGCTGAGCAAGGCACGAAAATGCACGTGCTCAACACGCCAAAGATGAGATGGATGTCAGCAACACCGAGGTAGCGTGTAAGCTGAACTCGTGACGCGACCACCCAGCAACATAGCAGTAGCAAGGCAGCGACGCTGCGTCAACGAAGTGTAAATTCATGAGCATGTAGTTGCAGTGAAAGAAATGTGCGTTACAGTGGCGAAGCGAAGACATTAATCCGTATCCTGTGCCGCAACGATAGCTGATCTCGCAGTTACCTTCACATAAGAAAGCCATGGTATACGTTAAGAAAAAAAGAAACATAGAGGTAAGTGTGTCATTCTAAAAACGGATAGTGGAAACTAAAAACGGATAGCGGAAACTGCACGCTAGTTAGGAAACTGTGATTTTAGAGCCATGTAAAACCCATGGCCACCATAACGGACGACGAGATATACCGAAGCCCAACGCCTGCGAAGTCGAAGTGGAATGACTGCCACGCACTGGTACAGTATGACGAATCGATTTCCTAGAAGGGAAAGGAGGAACAAAACACAAACAAGGTTCGGACAGCATCATGACCCTCAGACAAAGCAACTATCGTTGCAACGATCCGTACTACAAATGTTTACAAATACTAGTCAATTCCGAAAATTTACAGAAATGGCATCACCCTCCGACACACCCACCATAGCAGCATCCAATGCCTTGCTTAACCACTCAGCCAGCTGCTGGTCTGTCATTTAGAAACCCTTATACTGCATCATCCTGACGGCCGACGAAGCGATACATGGGTTGCATATGCGACTAGAAAGATACCTTGATCGGCTTCTACATCATTTTCGCTTTATCAGCACTTTTTAAGACCAGATTTGCTAGTCGGCAAAACATCTGACTCAGAACCGCAAATTCTCGAATTCGAACCCCGGCCAATCTGCACGCATAACTTTAAAAACAAAAAGAACAATAACGCATTTCTCGCTGATGATACGGACAAAGACGCTAGCATCGTACCATAAGCCACACGAGAAAGATATCCCAAATGGTGTCTAATTATGAAAGATAAGAGAGACGGACATCCTAACGGATAAAATTTTCCTCTTTCCTTTTCACCGGCATACTAACCATGTAAGAGTTGAGATCATCGAACACAGACTGACGGATCTCATTTTATCTGTACGGAAACGAACAAGGTATTTGGGAAAATATCGAATTGTATTAAAGCGGTAAATAAGTTACAGGCGTTAGGAAGGAAATGACAGTTTTTAACCATCGGAATGTCGGTCTTCGTTACGCTTGTATGACGGAGCGATTTCTGACGCCCTTCTTTTCATGATTTTAATGGGGAAGGGGTTGCTGAACTCTATTTTCATGCCATCGGCGACCTATCTGGGCTCGAACATGGAACTTTCTATTTAAAAAGGGAATCAAATGACCTCAGGCGTTGTTCAGCGCCTTCTTTTTAACCCTATAGGCAGCCACATTCGTAGAATGGCCAACAACTCAACGATGCCATACGGGAACGCATAGCGTGCATAAGCGGAGCAACAGAAAAGGTTCGGCAGTAGTTAAGTGGCACATCACGAAGAAATACACCACTCACTGAGTCTCCAGCAACAGTGTTCGAAGAAAAGTTCGAAAAGCAATAATAGCGGATTAAAACAAGTAATCAGACGAACAGACATCAGGAGACCTTGGCCATTAGCTGAGCTTATTACTTTATTATTGCTGCTGCTCACTGCTGCCTCTGAGACACAAAGGATAAAGGACCATCGAAATGAAATAACTTACAGTTTCAAATAAATCTTCTCACTTTAATCCTATAACGAACTTAAGTAAATAGGTCACTTATTTTTATTAATCGGTATGACGTACGATGATTTGCATTCTGCCATGCAATTTAGGTACTTTAAAAAAGTATATGACTGAACAGCAGGCAGTGAGGATCATTTATTGCACAGATTCCATGTGAAGAGAGCCAAATTGGAGAAACAGAATGGAAGCTTATAAGCACAACAAGCCTAGATGTAGCAACATAAACCGACATGACCAAATTTACAATAATAGTTTCACTAATGCTACATCACAATTTTGTCTAATAACTTTTGCTTCGTTGTCTGTTTCGGTACTTCATTTTGTTCCAATTCTTTTTTCTTCTACATTAAATTTCACATCTTTTCAGTAAACACCTTTCACTTAAGTCACCAATCTGATACCATTTAGGTTCGACTTCCAAACCGGGCTAGGCAACTACATTAGATGGGTCCTTTCCGCATGGTTCGCTACCTAGAGACGCAAGTCATTGGAGGACTTGATCCGGATGCTGAATAGTAGTGCAATTGCTTTTGAAACTATTTAAAGAGCCATAAGAGAAATATAAAAAGTCATTGAAAACTTTAAATTTTGTTATGTAAATTTATTTTAACAGAATTCTATAGATCCAATATAAACTTATCCTAGAAGATGAGACTTTTACTGTATATTCAAGTTCATTTCATTTCCACGACAAGAGAATTTTCAAAGGAAAGGCATTAAGTTTGAACGTTTCGTAGCAAACAAATTGGCACCTACGTACATATTTTAAAAAAATCGTTTACAAACCAATTTAGTCTCAGAGATTCATTCTTCAGCAAGAATACTTCTACTGTCAGTACTTTCCGGGTGTGGTTCTGAGTCGGTAGGTGGATTAAAGCGCAAACGCATCCGCAAAGCGCTTTGCTTGGTTCACCTGTGCATGCTCTGACCAACCAATGAGTGACGTTAATTACGATAGCACTTCGGTGAAAAAGTACGACGACAGTACGTCAT